CAACGGGCCCACATATACCCTAATCAGAGTTGGCTGCGGCCAGGAGTGCATCACAGTGTCAGGACCCCACTGGGGGCGCTGTCTATCTCTTCCTTTTAAAAAAAATTATTTACTTTATTTTATTTATTATTGTTATTTTTAAATTCGCCACAGAGAGAGAAAGGGAAAGTAAGAAAAAACAAGCCTCCCGGTCCGGGACCCAAACCGTGGTCAGCCATGTGGGAGTCCAGTGCCTTAAACACCACACCACCGGCTGGCCCTCCTCTGACTCTTTCTCTGTCTCTCTTGCTCATAGAAGAAACAGTAAACTGTTTGTTTTTGGGTTCTTTCTGTGGCATGGAATCACAGCTCAATTCTAAAACAAACTAGGGCTCATCCAATGACCAGCTCCTTAACTGTGGGTTATCTCAGAAAAAGAGAACTCCGCAGGCACAGGGGCAGGCGCGGGGCAGCCTGCTGCAGGGTTGCCCACCCGTCACAGCCACCAGCCGGGCTGTCCCTGCCCACCCATATGCCCTCAACCCCCAGGAATGGCGAGGATGACTGGGGCCTGGCACCTGGAGGCGCTCTGCGGTCCTTCCCTTTCCCAGGAGTGTTGCCTCGAGGGAGGCCGGGCCACGAACCCTTGGCCGCCATGTCCCAGGGCTCCAGGACCACAAGAAGTTTGTGGGCCTCCTGGCACAGCCGGCTGCTGCTTCGAGCCTGTGGGGGAATTGCCTTGAACTGGGGGCTGCGAAGCCTCCACCTCACCGCACATGGCAAGATTTTCAACATCACTTGCCATTAGGAAACTACAGATTAAGACAACAATGAGATGCCAATATACACCTATTAAACTGGCCCAAATCCGGGACCAGCAGATGGCATAACGGTTACGTCACTAGACTCCCATGTAGCCGATCACCGTTTGAGTCCTGGACCCAGTGGTTTAAACTCACGCCAGGCACATGTGCGTGTGTGCCCAAGAGGAGAAGGGATTGTGGCGTGGCCATCCCCCCCAGGGGGGGAGTGATTTCTCACTTTCTGTCTCTCTGCCTCACAGGTACCCTATAGCAAAAACCTCCCCCCCCCAAAAAAAATTTTGGGGTGACCAGCACATGGCATAGTGGTCAAGGCACTGGACTCTCACAGTCAGAATCCTAGAACTGGCATCTAGCTTTCTCAACCACTCCCCTCCAACTCACTCTCTCTGGTGAACCAGTGTGTCCTATTGTAAAGTAAATAATAATAATAAAATTAAAGGGACCAGTGGATGGCACAATGGCTACGTTGCTGGACTCCCATGTAGTTGATTGCAGTTCGAGTCCCTGACCCAGTGGCTTAAAACTCACGCTGGGCACGTGTGCGTGCATGCCCAAGATCCCGAAAGGAGAATGGGGGAGAAGGGACTGCGGCATGGCCATGCCCCCTTGGAGGTGATTTCTCCCTTTCTGTCTCTGTCTTTCTGGCGAGCGCACATGCCTTATAATAAAAACTTCTCCAAAAAAAATTGTTTTAAATAAGTAATTCTCTTAAAAAATCCAATAGATGGTGTATAAGCAAGACTGCTTTCAAAACCCGTAAGACAGAAATATTATAACATGGGGGCCAGCAGGTAGCATGGTGGTTAAGGGTGCTGGACTCCCACATGTCCGACAGCTGTTTGAGTCCCGGACCTGGCGGCTTGCTTTCTCACTTTCCTCTCTTTCATTCTGTCCCTTTCTGGTCAAATTAAAAAAAAAAATGTATAAAGTTAAATAATTTGTTTAAAAAGTAATAAAATATAATAAATAAAATTAAATTAATAATTTTTTCAAAAAAAAGAGACAGCCAGCTGGAGAGCCAGCGAGTGACGTGGGGGTTAAGACACTGGATCCTACATGGCCAACTGCCCCTGGTTCAAATCCTGGACTCAGTGACTTGAAAAACAGCCTAGGCGCATATGTGTGCATGCCCAAAATCTCGAGAGGAGAATGAAGGAGAGGGATGGTGGTGTGGCCATTCCCCCAGGGGGTGCTTTCTCACTTTTCCTCTCTCTCTGGTGAGCACATGCAACTCATAGCAAAAAAAAAAAAAAAAAATTTAAGAACGAAATCGAGGAAAATATCCA